TCCTGATGCTTTTGCATTACGGGTCACCTGAAGACGGAGTTTGTGGTTGTGTGGAGGTAACGGGAGAGGAAGGTTGTGGCTGAGAGGAGGGAATGGAAGATGGTTGACAAATCTGCATATGTTGTTTTGGGGGGGGGGGGTGAAGGATTTTATTTTTATTTGTTTTTCTTTTACTGACAGCTAGGATGATATTATGAATACATCTGTTTCCATTTTAGCACTTTCAGTCAATAGGTGGGACACATTAAATTTAAAGTAACAGACATTTGTCATAATTAATGTTGTTGTCATTTTTGCTCTCATTTTAAACTTTCATAGATAGTTTTGCGCCCAAAAAATATTTATGGTTTTTGGTGCACATTTGGTATAAATGTATGGGTAAATCTGTACTTCATCCTTTAAATTAAGTACATGATAATAACTTATTTTCTTTTACTAAGATTAAAATAAAAAGTTGCAAATTGTAAAAAAACTGAGCCGGCCTGAACAGTGGGTTAGGAGCCTGCCTCAAAAAGTGGGGTGCCATTTTGACAACTCGACCCGCCATTTTTTTGTGCGTTGAACAATAGGCAGAATTCATACTGTATCTTTATATTATGTCTAGTATACATGGATGTTAGGAAAAGTAGAGTACAGATCCAATTAAGTTACAATTCAAACGTTCCTAAGTTTACTTCAAATCAAAGTTTACATGATTACATGATTTGATTTTGTTGTACGAACCTAACAATAGTAATAATTAATAAATAAGTAAAAGAAAAGATATGATTCCACATGAAAGACAAAACAACAAATAGACGAAAAGAAGAATAAATTTTAGAACTACATGATTTGTGCACAAAATGTAATGATTGATTACTTCAGCTATAGTTTCAAACTAAGAAAATTTGATCATTCGATCGAATATCTTAAAGTGATGGAATTCTTAGATGACAGGATTTTTTATGGGGGAACCAATAAACGAACCTAGCATATGTTCATGGTGTCATACTTACGCAAATTAATTGCATTCCTATTCCTATTCATTAAATGATAAACACGAATTTTTACAATTTGGGAAAGATATTATGATCTCTGGGACCCCTTAAAGCATTAAATCAAACCAAAAATAGCTTATATGCTCTTGTTTTAAACCCTCCTGTATTTCCACTAATTAAGGCCCTATCTGCAGCCAACTTGATGGTGCATTAGTGGAATAAATTAACTATTAAAATAATGGACCTTTTTCTTCCAATACCTTTTTTATATTTTATGGCTTAATTTTTCTCCTTTTTTAAATCTATGAGAAGACAACTTGGTTCAACTTTAAATTTAAAAATTAATTAAAGCCTTAGGCGTGTTTCACTATCTGGCTCTACGATATGATAGTTAATCATGTGAAAAGATGAAAAGATGGAGGAAAAGACTCTAAATATTTGTTGGGAAGCTTAGGCACCGTCAAATTAGCCAATAAATAAAGCTTATAGAGTGTAATGGGAGTAAAAAGATGAGAAAGATTTAGAAACGGATTCTCTTTTTCTGCTAGGAAAATAATCGTTATTTTGAATTAAATTTGATTGTTAATAGTTTTAAGCCGTCCTAGACGATATTATAATGAAGGTCTTGTGTAGTTCCCATGTGTGTCAAAAGAAGTTTCACGCTGCTTTTAAGGCAAGTCTTAATGTATGTATGCTAAGATGAGAATTCGGATTATTGAAAAAATCAAGTGGAATAGGCTCGCTCACATAACAAATGCAAATCAACACAACTAAAATTTGCCCATTTTTCCTCACATGCTAGTTAAATGCGACACTACTAGTCACTTTTTATCAAAAATCATTTTATGAAAGTACAAAATCATTTTCATATTAGCTTGTTGGAAAAGTCTTCTCCCCCCCCCCTACTGGTTTTGAATTTCAATTTAAAATTCACAAACGTTTGGGTGTTTGATCTCATTAAGTCATCCTTACATGCTGTCAGTAAAAGACAATATGCTTGTAACATGCAAAACACACCGAGCTCTTGAGTTTTTGTGCTCCTTCATAATCTCCTTCTCTTTTGTTCTACTTCTGCAATATTTCTATTGTTTTGTGCCCCTATTTTCTTTATAGGCAGGATTTCTTTAATCTTAAGAGAGTTGTCGTTTTCTACTGGGTGGGATAGAATATCTCTTGAGGACAATACTTTTGGGTATAGCCCAAGCTGGATTTTCTATCTATGCCACCAACGAAAAGATTTGTCCAAAATAAGTTATTTTAATTTCTTCTAAAACTTGAGACAGTGCCAATATATTCCTTCGGAGTTTGGTTGTTCATACTTCTTCGTATTGGAGAGACCGTATTCAATTATTCTCCTTTAAATTATTAAAAAAAAATAATTAAGTGGACATTTTGATTCTTGGAATAAAACATTTATTTTTAAAATATCGAAAATGTTTAAGGCTCTACATTTATCAAAATATATACCAAAGATGAAAATGTTAAAAGGAAAATTCCGAATAAATGGCTTTAAGATTTGGAAAAAACCCAAATTAGTAATTTCAATTTGCATAATCCCATATTAGTGCCACTTGTAACAAAATGAAATTTTAAAATATGTTTTTACCAAAATACCTCTAAACACGCCATCTCACCCAACTGCTGATGGGGAGTCCAATTTAATATTACATTTTTGGTATTTTCAATTTTAAGACACGCTTCCAATGACAGTGCTCGTTGTTATTGGGTGTGGTGGATATTATTAGGCTACAAGACCTTTGGCCTGTGTTTTCATTTTTTAAATGGATATGATAAATAGTTAATGAAGTGTAATAAATATTCAGAAATAGTAACCTTTTAGAATAAATTATTTATGTGAGAAATCTGCTAAGACATGTTGTCATTTGTAAATTCCAGCATCGAGATTATCCTGGTATTAGGCAAATTCGAGTTAGTTTTTGTAAATCTGGGCGGTATTTCAATGGAAGTTTTCCAATGTTAATTTTTTTTAATACATTTTTCAGTCCAATATATATTAAAACTTCATAATTTTTGGCCAACAAAACTTTACAATAACAATATGGAAGATTGTAATATATGCCACAAAAATAGAAATATAATCGATATACGCTATTTAGTTTAAGATGCCTTTTATGCTCATCAATGGATGCCATTGCCCATTATGTATAAGTGCAAAGGGTAAAATCAGTAACGTGATTTTATTTTTCAGGTACATTCAATACACTAATTTTTTTTATTGATGCATCCAATACTCTAATAATTTTTTAGTGCATCCAGCAATTTTTAGGGTGTTAAATGTAACTAAAAAAGTAACATCGGGATATTGGATATACTAAAAAAATAATATTAGGGTACTGTATGTACAATAAAAAGAAACACAATAATATTAGAATATTGGATCACGTTTACCCATTTATAAATATCCATATTTTTATTGATTTTTGCTTTGGTGTATACACATTATATTCTCTCCAGGCATCTGTTACTCAGTTCAATTAGACAAAAGAAGGATTTACAATTAGTAGTTTAGAGCCTAGGGTGGATTGATGTGAAATATCACAATGCCTTAAATCCACTCAAGAATGAATCAAAGTCTAAGAAAGTTAAACCATCATATTAATTAGAAAATATAAATATGTAAATATCTTGCTCGAGTGCTAATTTAAAAAATATTAATATTAATATTTATTACAATTTTTTTTTGGCACAATAGAGAGAGCTAAGCTCCAAATTAAAAACCAATACGTAAAGAGTCCACGCTATCTGTTTGTCCCCCGAATTCATGCGGATCAAACTTGAAGTTATGGGCTGACGTATCCTCTTTGAATTGGTTATGGGCTAAATCTTGTTAGTTTGGGCCCAGTTTATCTTCCTTGGGTCAGTCATATATGAGTGGGTCCGGCTTTTTATTATACGCCTATTAATGTCAATGGGCTCCTATTCTTTTGGTTTTACCCATTAGTTTTCTGTTTTTCATTAGTTTCTTTGTCAATTATGCGTCAGCGTGAGTGGTACATCTCTCTTCGTTTCCCTTTTATTATTGTTATTTTTTTTTGTTTTACCAAAACTTCTTTTCCCTTTCACGACCTCTTTGGTTAGAGGAAGGAAGAGCAGAGAATGGGAGACGAGGAGAGCTAATCTTTATCCTTATATTAATTGTTACACACAAAATATTATTTAAAAATTTTTAAATTCAATAAAAAAATTATGTTCATATAAAATTAATTTTATTATTAAAAAATGGAAACGGACTTCCTGGTTTATTAAAAAAATTTAGACAAAACGCAACTTAAGACTACTAACTAATTTAAAACAATTTCTCTATGAAATTTAAGTTAATTGAAAAATAGAATCTTAATTAAATGAACCTAGAAGAGATAGCTTGGAGTGGAAGAACCACCAACAAACTAAGGGTATGGACAGTTAAACATAGGTTGACAATAGTCCATGAACAATTTCTCTATGAAATTTAAGTTAATTGAAAAATAGAATCTTAATTAAATGAACCTAGAAGAGATAGCTTGGAGTGGAAGAACCACCAACAAACTAAGGGTATGGACAGTTAAACATAGGTTGACAATAGTCCATGAACAATTTTTTCTCCATTCCACAAACTCCAATTTTGAAGGGATAGAATAGGGAAAAAAATACAATAATAAAAATTTGAGTATTATATTATCCTAAACAAAAATCAATGAGTAATCAAAACATGATTTATTTTTCAACATTGTAAAGATAATCATGCGTTAATTTTGTTTTATACTTTCAGATATTAAAATATATTCTTCCAATTAGTTCTTATATTTAGGACCGGAAGAGTACTAAACATTCTCGTTCTTGTACAACATGGATGCCTTACTTCAAAAGTAACACTATCAAATCCACCAAAGGCATCATTCCAAACCCAAAACGAAACTAAAAAGGCAAAAAACCAAAAGGAAAAGAAACAAACAAACAAATTGACAGACGCAGACCAACCCACAGAAACATGTTACAATTAAGGAACACATGCAAAGAAGTTCTTTAGACACGAGTCCCAGGAACATTTGCACCCTTATGCATGGGGTCTCCGCCTGCCCCTCCGATGCCGTAGTTGTCGGTGTCGCGGTAGCCGGGACCGTACTTGCTGCTGTAGAGTCCGGCATGGATTAGGATCACGCAGAGAAGCTGTGTAAATGTGAGGATTATAATGAAGGCCTCCACTATCCTCAGCCTCCACCCTCGGTGCCCCCCTATGTTTATCTGCTTGCACGCCAAGCTACAGTTTTCCCCCCGCACACAGTTAACAACCATGAACAAGTACAAATCTTAACAAAGTCAACTTCTTTGTCTGACTGAATCAATCTCTATAGCTATTTTCCGTTGAAAAGCTATAATTAATGTTATTATATGATATATTATTAGTTCAAAACAGAAACATAATGGATAGCATTGACCAAAGAAAATTTTGAAAATTGAAGGATAATGCCTTATTACTAATCCTACTACAGTAATTGGGTATCAATTAAATGACTCATATTATGCTGTTTATTACATCACAGCGATGTTATTATTATTAGTTCTTTTTTTTATTTTTTAGTAAGCAATACTCTTCAGATACAGCAACTAAGACAGAGATTATGTGTATAATTATAAATAAAGTTGACATTTAATTACCCAAAGGCTAAGGCAGTGACAGCCCAAGCGATTAAAGAAGAAGCTCCGGCTCCTGCTAAACTATCATTCCTCCAAGTCCTGAGATGGTTTCCTCCCAAGAACTTTGACGCAATCCCCAACACAGAAGCTAGCAACGCGAACGTCAAGAAGAACATAGTCGCACCATTTCCTCCAAAACCTGAAACAAATCAATCAAATCATGATGTCTTATGATATAAACACACACACATACACACACAGCAGAAGATTTAGGTTGGGAGTTTAATTAGAAGAGAGAAGACTTACTGGGGTGGTAGGTTTGGCCATTGATGAACCTGTTGAGGCACCAACTAGAGAAGCCAAGCACAATGAAGTACATGATCAAGTTCAGAAATAGTAATGGAGCTGCTATGTTTCTTCCAACTGTAGCCATTTCTTCTTCTTCTGATGACTTTAACAACCTTCAAGTTCAAACCCGCTTCAGCAAAGTATATTGCAATACGTAGTTATTATTGATGGATGACGTACCAAGTTATTCTTGTTCCACGAGACTAGTTGAGTACTCTTTTCTGTGAGGCCCAGAAGAGGATTGTGTTGAACCGATATATAGGGGAGGTGAAGGTGTTTCTGAAGATACGTGTCCAGTGATGGTGTTTTGCATGTGTTCTCTGCTGTACACGTGTCAGGACACTTGTCGAGTTTTGTGTCTGCTTCTCCCATGGAATTTGATTTGATAAAATTCTCTCTAGATCTGTCTTTGGAATCTCGAAGTTCGATTAAACGGTGCGTTATCTCGAAGAAGAAGAAAGGGTTTCGCTTTCACAGAACTGAACATCTGGGGTTCCATCAGTAGCTGCTATAGGATCCGAAGTCTAACATCTTGTTCGGTAGATAATAGGATGAATTTCTTCTTATCTTTTAAAATTAAAAAGGCTAAAACTTATCGACTAGGCCTCTCTCCGCTGCCCTCTTTTACCCAAAACAGTGCCTTTTTTGTCACCCTATATATACAAGAATATTTCTTTTAGGAGGTCCTGATTCTTTATATATATATATATATATATATATATATATATATTGAAATATTTTTTTTTACGTAGTACCCAATATTTTAAAATAATTTTAGTCCTTTTAGCACCTTAGAATATTTCTTTTAGGAGAGCCTTGTATAGCGAAAATTTTTTTTTAATACACTCAGTACTTTAAAATATTTTTGACAGCAACACCCGAAAAAAACAATCAGCACCCATCACTATGGACCCAATACAGCAATGTTTTAGGTAAAGGCACTGGATGGACTAGGGAGTGAAGAGAAGCCTGGTCCGGAAATTTAAGTAGATCAAACACAATCTCTTACTAGGAGAGTTTTTATATCACCAAGCTACAATTTCATGAGCATAATATAATGACATTGGAAATACAAATTAAACTAAAAATTAATATGTATATATTTTTAAGTGTCAAAAAAGAAAATAAATAAAAATTTCATAATTATATAAAATAAGTATGGTCGCCATCTTTACAAAATTTTATTATATTTTATCAAAACAATCTCATTAAACTATAATAATTAAGTAATTACAAAGACAATCAAAACCTTCCATTTTTATGATATCACTGCCTTCACGTTGGGGTGAAGAATGTCTCCTCTACTTTGGGAAACCACTGCTATGTCTCCAAGCGGCAACCTTATGGATCTTGCAGTAAAATCAAGCAACCTAGTTTTTCATCTCCAAAAAAAAAAAAGGAATGATCGGAGGATTGGGAGCAAGAGGAACGTCTTTACAAAATTTTGTTATATTTTATCAAAACAATCTCATTAAACTACAAAGACAATCAAAACCTTCCATTCTTATCACTGCCTTCACGTTGGGGGTGAAGAATGTCTCCTTTCCTAGGGTTTCTTAAAGGGAAGCCACTGTCATGTCTCTAAGCGGCAACCTCATAGATGTTTCGGTAAAATCAAGCAACCCAATCCTTCGTCTCCAAAGAAAGGGAACTATTGGAGGATTGGAACAAGAGGAATAGTAGAAGAAGTAATAGGAATTAAGTTTAATTGTACCCAAACCCTCTAATGAATAAACCATTGCTTGGCACTTGATCTCTTAACTCAAGAGAGCATCTATCTCATGTTGCATTTCAAACCGTTTTCCTTTTCCATAAAAATCCAAAAAAAATAGTTTCATTACATTACAAAGTTTTTTTTTTTTCAAAATGAATTTTAACTTCAATCAACCTCTTCTTGCATATAGTTGACTAGGCTATTTAATAAATTGACTTCTTATAGATGACTCAGGTGGCTATTTTATTGCAATCCTTGGTTTTATAAATTGTGTTGATTTTAACCTCCCAAGACGTGAGGAAAAGGGTTAGATCACACACATAGTGCTTGGCTGGTTCTCCCTGCAATTTATAACTTGCCTCCTTAGTTATGTATGAAAAGAAAGTATATTATAGTATCTTTAATGATCTCAGGGATAAAACAACCAGAAAACAATATCGATGCAACTTGAAGAAACTATGGGAGGAAGGTGTTAATATGTTTAATGCATATAAACAAGAGACCTTCAAACTACACGCCATGATCTTCACTATGATAAATGACTTCCCGGCATATGAAAATTTGTCAGAATATGGTGTTAATGGAATAAAGCATGTTCAATATGCGAAGAAGGCACTCATTACATGCAACTCAAACATGAAAGGAAGATGGTCTACCTTGGTCATGGAAGATTTTTTAGTCGACATCACCCTAACCGTAGGTCGAAGAAGCCATTTAATAGCTTACAAGAATATCAAATGACTCAAATATCATTAACCAAAGAAGAAGCTATCAACGGATGGAAGGAGTTAATGTCATTTTCAGTAAAAAGAAGACGAATATTGCAGGTGAGAGGAATATATGGAAGAAGAGGTTTATTTTCTTTGATCTTCCATATTAGCAGAGTCTTGAAGTAAGACACAGTCTAGATGACATGCATATGAAGAAAAACGTGTATGAGAGCCTTGTTAGTATGCTTTTTGACGGGACTTAGTTAAAAAAATTGTACACTCACAAGAAAGAGGGCTTATTTGCATCCAGCAGTGTACACATTGTCAAAGAAAGAGAAAACGAGTTTTTATAGTTGTATGAATGGTATTAAGGAGTCACAATGTTATTCTTCTAATTTGAAGAAGTTTGTTTCAAAGCAAGATTTGAAGATAATGGGGATAAAGTCTTATGATTGCTACATGTTAATATAATAATTACTTCTAGTGACAGGACATTATGAAAAATGATGTGAGAAGCACTATTATGAAACTTTATATGTTTTTTAATGCTACTTGCAACAAGGTGATTGATCTTACTGAATCAGATGAATTAGAAAATAAAGGTTATATTTTCGTCTCTTAATTATAAATACACTTTCCTCTATTACTTTTTGACATTATGGTACATTTGAATGCTCATCTTATGAGGGAGATAAGACTTTGTGGCCTCTTGTGTTTAAGGTCAATCTACCTATTTGAGAGATACATAAAAATCCTAAAAGAATACTCTAAAAATCCTTATTAACATGAGGCATCAATTGTTAAGAGATATGTCTTTGAGAAGGCTGTTGAGTTTTGTCACCAATATCTTAATAGGGTAAAGGCAGTTAGATTTCCTCAATCTCGGCATGATCAGGGAAGAAGCAAAGGAACATGGGATGTCATAGTGAGGTCCATATCTCACACATCTATGCATTTTGGACAATTCAGATAAAGTTTTAACTTACTTGGATGCTCACAAGAATATGCTGAAGAACATAAACCCAAGAAAGAGCAACATACAATTAGCAAGAAACATAACAAGTCATTTGTAGAGTGATTCAAGCAAGAAGTATTAAAGGATATAAATCCTTGCAAGATAATACAAAGGCTAGCTATAGGTCTCGTTTTAAGGTTGTGTGTTAAGGAAGATATGATATAAATGACTATTCATTTTACGCAAAAGCCTAAGATAATAAAAGTACTATGCAGAATAGTAGGATAATGTTAGTAGCCAAAGCTATATATTTTTCTAATTTAAAAGATAAAAACCCAGCATTAGTCTTCATGTCCTATTATGGAGTAGCAAAAGAGAGATGAGAGGTTAGTTATACCAAGAATATCATTGAGACATGAGTTTATGTTTATAAATTTATTACATATAAAGTTAACAAAAACGTGCTATAATATCTTTTCTTTTCCCTAATTCTTGATAGAGCTTCTCAAAGTTTCAACGTAATAATTGAGAAGAAAAGGCCACTGCCAATATGAAGTCTCTCATAAATATATTGTTCTAAGCTAAGTATATGTTATAAAATTTTTAGATAATCAAAGTTAAATATTCAATTCTATTTTTTATTTTGTTAGTATTGTTGTCAACTCAGGAGTGTTGAATGTGGATATTCATAATCCACTATATGAATGACATCATTGAGATGGGTTACTGAGAAATTAAATGAGGTAAATAAAAGTTACATTGTAATTCTTCAATTTTTTTTTTCACATTTTTGATCCAATTGACTACCAAATTTGTTCATTTTAATTTACAGGCATTTTGAGATAGTGCAGCATATGATCCTAAAGAAATCAATTTAATGAGAGAAGCTTTGTCAGTAACATTACTTGAGAATATGGGTTGATAAACATTTTGAAGTTTAAAATTTTGGTAATAATAATTGAATATAGGTTTTTTAATTCATTATTTATTAGGGTTAGTTGAACTATGAACTGGTTAAGTTATTGATTGGTAAGTCTAGTTGATCAAATAAGGATTGAAAACATTAGTTATGTTAGTATGAGATTTGAGTTTTAGCTTTGAATTGGTTTTGCATTCTTCTAAATTAGTCTGTTTGATTTGGCATTGTAGGAAGGTTTTATACAAATTGAAACAAATTTATATTAAAAATAATTTATTTTGAAGCGTAAAAAATTATTTTGGACAACTTATCAATCATTTGACTTAACATTGCACCTATTGTAATATGAGAGGCATCATAAGAAAATTCAAATGAGAAATTCCAATTTGGTATAGCATGTAACAACTTAACTTATAACCCTTATTCACATCAAATAAAAGTATTTGGAACCATTCGTTAAGTCTTCAAGTTGGAAAAATTTAAATTTTAAAATTAATGTTCTCGGGTTACTATTTATTATAACCCTAAAAATTGGCCCAATTTTAAAAAATCATAACTAATTCTAGAAAAATTAACATAAGGTAGTTCCAAGTTTTACTTGAAGCCTTCAGAGAGATATTTAAGGAAAAAATACTTTCAAGTTGTGAATCCAACTAATGTGTGCCCAATTTACACATCAATGCACACTATTTATATGGTCAATTTTTTGAATTTTTCAAAATCTATACCTAACTTTGGATAGGTACAACTTTTTGTAAAAAAGTCTAATTTTAATGAATTACCACTC